TGTCTGGTCTGTCTGGTCTGTCTGGTCTGTCTGGTCTGTCTGGTCTGTCTGGTCTGTCTGGTCTGTCTGGTCTGTCTGGTCTGTCTGGTCTGTCTGGTCTGTCTGGTCTGTCTGGTCTGTCTGGTCTGTCTGGTCTGTCTGGTCTGTCTGGTCTGTCTGGTCTGTCTGGTCTGTCTGGTCTGTCTGGTCTGTCTGGTCTGTCTGGTCTGTCTGGTCTGTCTGGTCTGTCTGGTCTGTCTGGTCTGTCTGGTCTGTCTGGTCTGTCTGGTCTGTCTGGTCTGTCTGGTCTGTCTGGTCTGTCTGGTCTGTCTGGTCTGTCTGGTCTGTCTGGTCTGTCTGGTCTGTCTGGTCTGTCTGGTCTGTCTGGTCTGTCTGGTCTGTCTGGTCTGTCTGGTCTGTCTGGTCTGTCTGGTCTGTCTGGTCTGTCTGGTCTGTCTGGTCTGTCTGGTCTGTCTGGCCTGTCTGGTCTGTCTGGTCTGTCTGGTCTGTCTGGTCTGTCTGGTCTGTCTGGTCCGTCTGGTCTGTCTGGTCTGTCTGGTCTGTCTGGTCTATCTGGTCTATCTGGTCTATCTGGTCTATCTGGTCTATCTGGTCTATCTGGTCTATCTGGTCTCTCTGGTCTATCTGGTCTGTCTGGTCTGTCTGTTGTAAAACTGTTCTAATCCACCATCGTTCACAAAACATCTCAAAAAATAACCTTTTCCCCCGCTCCCTAACAAATTAAGATAAAAAAAACTAAAAACGAAATGTTTATCTATCCCTTTTTCGTAATATTCCATCAAAGTTAAGTTGGTGAGTAGGTGTTTCACCATTCCGCAGTCTATAGGTATGAATGTAATAAGAAAATAAAATATCGCCTTCTTCTTAGAAAAAAGGGATGCATGATTCTTTATTTTTATATTTCATAAAAATTGTTGTTGGTCCTTAAAGCTGGCAGGCGGTTGGGTAATAGTGGTGGTATTTATATTAAGCTTTGTTGTATTTTTGATGGTAATATTATTGTTGTTGTTGTTATTTTGCTTACTTCGTTCTTAGTAAAATTTAGTTCTAGCAGATAAAAGAAAAATACAAAGAAGAAGAAACGACAAATAAAATTGAAAAGCACTTTTCTACTTGAATGCTTTGCTCGGTTTACTGTATCTAATATAACATACTAAATATTTATATATTAGTATATATATAAAGGTTTTACTCATGTATGTATGTACATTAGACATGACCTTAAAAAAGCTGTGGTTTGAATGGGTCTTACTTTATTCCTTAGCATCTTAAATAATTTGATGCTATTTTTTAGATCAAGGAGTCGATTGTGCACCAACCATCATAAAAAGTCCATAGAGCTAATTTAAGCAAAATTGTATCCTATTTTTAGCTTAAGCTAATACAGTAACTTTAAACTGAATATATAACTGTATTTTGTTTAGTTATTCCTACTTTTTTTAATCTTTTATAATTGGACCCCTCTAATATATAGGTCTAGATATGTATGTTTGTATTTTGTTTAAAAAGTATGATTACGACACATTTCAAGTCATTTTCCTATTTTCAAGTACATACTGTGATTTTTTTGTGTCCTTTACTTAAATATTTTGTTGCTACGAGAGCTTTTTTCGTTAATGTTCTGCTTTATTTTGCTTTTGGGAGACATTTGTCGATTTTTGTCTTATAAATATTTAGTTAAACTTTGTTTTGCCTTATTTAGGTAAGTAATATAATGTACAAATAATATGTTATCAAATTAAATGAAAAAAAGAAAGCAATTTAAAAAGAAAAATATGTCAGCTAAAAAATTTTTTCCTAATAAAAATTATTGCTTTAACAAGATTTATTAAAAAATTAAAAAATGGATTTTCCTTGAATATGTATATAAGTAGAATGACTTTAATAATTATATTTAACCACATGTTTTTTTCTTTTGCATGCATATAAACATTTTCATTTCCTAATACAACTATACATTCATATTTACTTACGTATGCATTAAAATTTTAATATTTATACAAACACTGTTTTTTGCCACAGCTGCATAAACCTGTGAGTAAATAAATTTTGCAAAAATGAAAACTGCAATATGTATGTGAATTTTGTTAACACATTTCTTTTTTAATAAACATACTATATCTCTGTTTTACTGACGTTGCATCTGGCAACAGCACATTAATTTTAAAACCATGACTTCCTGTAAGTTTTAGTTGAAAGACAATGACATACATACAAAGAAAAAAACGGAATGAAAAACTAACTGGTAAAATTTAGTGGTTAAAAAATATTCTGTTGAGCCAAATAATTTGTTTGTATAAGTATTTATATGCGTAGATTTTTTTGGTATATTTAAATCCAAAAGCTACGTGTGTTTATCCATGTGCTCAAGTTTGTTCATGAATGGAGCTTATGAAATGTAAAACAAGTATAAATCAGCTAAGCGAAGACATACATTCTTATCTGCATTTCCTTGTGTTAAAACGGAAGCTACGAAAATTTGTACCAAAAATTGATTAAAGTAATGGATACCCATTACCCGCGAGCCTCGTTCTCATAAAACTTTTGATGTGGAACTAGTAAGGTTCGAAATCTTTAACTCGAAATTTATAGCTCTAATTTATTTCACAATAAAATAATTAACTTTTACTTTATAAATTTAAAAAAGAAATGAGTTCCCAATATATGGAAAAACGTTTCATTTAATTTAAAATTTTATTCTCTCTTTCTCCAACTAAACTGAACTCAGACTTTCTCAAGGTTAGAGTTTTTAATATTATTCTTCTTTTTGGCCACGAAAGTACCACAGCCTAGAGAATAGACTACTCCATAGACTTTACAATGGAATAGTCCATTAACTGTGCTATAAACAACTAGATATAAACATACTATAAACATACTAGATCCCAGACCAGTTTATAGTCCAGTACAAAGGACCATAAGTGGGCCAGCTCATGGAATATACTATTCTATAGACTAGGCCATAGCTTAGTACATAGACTAATTCATAGATTAAGCTATAGACTAGTATACAGACTAGACCATAGACTAGGCCATAGAGTAGTCCATAGACTTGTCCACAGATTAGTTCAAAATATAGTACGTACACTAGTCCATAGTCTAGTACATGATTAGTTCATCGACTAGTACATAGTCTAGTACATGGATTATTCCATAGACTAATACATAGTCTAGTACATGGATTAGCGCACATAGATTACCACTCACCAAACTCCACTTGTTCATAGTACAGTCTACTCTAGAAATGACTCCTTAGTCTAGTACGAAGACTAGTCCATGGAATAGTTCCTAGACTAATCCATAGGCTAGTCCATGGAAAAGTCCCTAGACTAGGCCATGGACTAGTCCCTAGACTAGATCATAGCCCATGGACTACTGCCCAGACTAGTCCATATAGTTATAAGTACATAAACTAATCCAAAGACATGTCAGTAGTCTATATCCTAGTCAATATACTTGCCCACTGAGTTGTCTATTGACTTATTATGATATTAGACTAGTCAACAAACTATAACTATAACAATAATATACTAGTTCAGAAACTAGTTATGAGACTAGTCTACAATTATACTAAGCAGAAGACTTACTTATATGTAGATTTAACCTACACTAGTTACGAGACAAGCCCATACAATAGTCATAAAACTTGACTATAACCTAGTCATTAGAAAAGTCTATACTCTAGCTATGAGACTACTTACTCTGCCATTTACTTAATAACTTCTGCAATGGACTTGTGTATATAAAAGACAAAAACTCTAATTGTACTTTTAATCATAAAAAAAATTATTAACATTTTTGGGGAAAAAGTTAATACTATTTCAAAATGTCCATTTTCCATATCTGGTTTTTCTCACAAAAAAGTTAAAAAAATCCACTACATTTATATGTGTGCAAATATTAATAGTCACACATAACTATGTGTGTGTAAGCTAAGAGTACGTGCATGAATTCTATAAGTACTTTTTTTGTGTTAAAATACTTTAAGCACTATTTGCCATAAAAGTGTTTATAAAACCCAAAAGGGTGTGAGAAATATTTATAAGCGTCCGTCTACTTACATACATATGTATGTATGTATATGGTGATGAGTATGAAAGGTGGTATTTTTTACTCATAATATAAGCTATTTGTTAAGTACTATTGTATGACAACATTTTTAAAATTCCTCTTGTTTTCTAAGTTTTATTATATTTTTCAATAGTTTTTTTTTTATTTTTTGAATTTCTATACATCCTTTTATAGAAAGCAAGACCTGATTAAGATTTCTATGGCAATAGACAAAATAAAAGCTAATGTGTGTTAAGTTTAAAGAGAATCGTTAAGATAATATAGACTATTTTATAGACACAAACTTTGTTTGTTCTTAAAATATCTTAAAGATATTTAAACTATAATCTCTTTGCAAAAGTAGCTTAATAATTTTGTCATGTTTTGGGTGTGCGTAAGTTCTATTAGTGTATGAGTTATTATTTAGTTTTAATTAAACTCTATCTTGGGGGGGAGGGGGTTACATTTTAGAGATGTTTTTTTTTTTTTAAATTAGTTTTAAAATAACTTTCTCTTTGTAGGAGAGAGGGTGTATATTAAATTGATCATAAGTTTTATGTACCACAACTTGTGGTACTTTGGCCATAACTGCTGGTAAGTGGTACGTACTTATATAGATAGTTTTTACTTTAGCTGAAGGACTTTGAAAGGGAAAACTTTTGCACATCTTTTAGAAATAATAAAGATTTTTCTTTGATAATTGCTGTAGACTTTAGTAGAGCAGCTTTTATTGAAATTTCAAAATTTATAAAATTCTTGGTTTAAATAAAACTTTTTTTAAATAAATTTAAACTAACCCCCTTATTCACAAACAACATTTTTATTTTATAAAAGGTTTATAAAACTAAATTTCCATACAAAATCTAATTTATAAACCGTTTATAAAATAATAATTTTGTTTGTGAATAAGGGGATAAAAGTATATCTTTATATAGGATTGATGTACATACCTGTAATATGTATTTTATTAAATATCGGAATCAATGGCATTACTGAAAATTAACAGATAAAAATATTATTAATACAAATTCTCAGGTAAAAAAGAAAAAAAAAGGACTAAAACATAGTTTACATCCAGCAATATAGATTTGGCTACCCCCCATGGACATTTTGCAGTAGAAAACAATTTTTCCTAATTAAAAATCATCTATTTTTCATAAATTATATAATAAAATTATTATGTGTTCATTTTCAGTTATGAGGTAAGGAAAATTAACCATAATTATTTAATAAATTTTTATGAACAAAAAATTCTTTGAAATTTTATTAATGCAATATTCTTGATTAATTCTTAATAATTTTGAATAAATATTAAGATATACAACACTTTACTCATTATTATGATTTTGTGCAGAGGTTCGTAACATCCAAAAATAATTTTTTTTAAAGTATAACAATCGGCTCAGAATCATATTCTAAGTCGATTAAGGCATAACCGTGCTATTGCCCATGTAAACCTGCCAATCCAGTAACAGATCACAAATTTTAAAACAATCATAACTATGTTGATTATGCAACAAAATATGACACGAGTTAGTACACAGAAAACATGTAGTATGGGAAAGTTTCGATTCCCCTTTTATCTTCTTAATTGACCTATAAACAATAATAATAAATGAGGAAAGCGTTAAACTAAGTTTCGTCAGAATCGGTTCATAATTGACAAACTTCCTGAATTATAAATATTCATTTCTAATTTTATAGTTTGTTCTTTAAAATAAAACTTATTGCATGTTTTAATATTAACAATAATTTTGTCAATTTTCCTTGTGGCTGTACGTTAGCAATAGATTGAATTAACTTAAAAGTTCAAGATGTTATTTAAGAGAATTATTTTAACGTTATATAACTACTATTATATTAAAATTTAATTTGTTATATAACAAAACTATACAATAAGTGTAAATCAGGCAGAAAACTATTGTTTAAGAAAAATTTAAAAATTATACTTAATATGTAATTACTTCCAATTAAATATTACGTATACGTCTTCATCATATACAATTTTTATACCCTACACCACTATAGTGGGGAGGGTATTATACGTTTGTGCTGATGTTTGTAATACACAAAAATATTCGATCGATTCAGAATCACTTTTTGAGTCGATTAAGACATGTCTGTCCGTCCATTCGTCCGTCTGTCCGGCTGGCTGGCTGTCCATGTAAACCTTGGGCGCAAGGTACAGGCCGCAATTTTCAAGGTAATTTGATGAAATTTGGACCAAGCATGTTTTTTAGCACAGGGACGAACCGTACCTCCCGATTTGGGCTTTTTATGCCATAATTACGTCAAATATGCTACTATCTCTCTAAAAATTAGCACAAATAAGTTTTATACAAGTATAAATAACACTATAGATTTTCGTAATGATCGGCCCTTATTTGACACTAGCCCCCATACAAACCCCCCTTCAAAAAATGTCTTAAACGTCTAAAATTGACATAACTAACTGTTATTTAAAAATATATCCCTTTCTCAAAATTAATGAGGATCGGCCCATGTTTGACCTATACTCCTATATAAAGCCCCATTTAGAAAATTTGTTTTTTATCAATAAATTGCTTAAATACTTTGGAATTAAGGTAAAATTCAACATAAAAGTTTCTTTATGAAAAATAAAAATTTTCAAAATATACTCATGGTGTAGGGTATTATATGGTCGGCCATGCCCGACTACACTTTCCTACTTGTTTTTATACTAATTGCTGTTAACAGACAACTCTGTAAATTTTCTAGTGAAAAGCCTCACAATAATAGAGACGTATAATTGTTATTGACTTTCAATTAAATATTACGTATACGTTTTTTTTCCTAAAAATAATTAAGATTTCTTTTAGTCTTGGGGTATGGAAAAAGTGTAAAAATTTGTTGTTAATTCAATAATGTCCTTTTACACAGGTAGGGATTTACTCTCAAATAAGCCAAAGCTGTCAGCGTGAAAGTTTATCAAGAAGGTATGTCAAAAATATCGTGTTTTTTAATGTTTAAAAAAATGCCAAAAGTACATTTCTCAATATTTTGACTTCGCAAAAATTCAATAAAAAACTATTTTAAACACATTTTGTTTAAAGAAGTCTTCTATGAATTTCTTAATTGCTAAAACATTTATAAATTTTCTTAAAACTAGGAGAAGGTAGGCGTTTTATGTATCAATGGTTTGTAAATTAAGTATAGTTTTTAGAAATTTATAAATTTTTTTAGCAATTAAGAAATTCATGGAAGACTGTATATAAAAATATGGCAAAAGTAGCTTGGATTAACTTAATAGTTTAAGATGTTATTTCAGAGAATTTTTTTAACTTTATATAACTATTATTATGTTCAAATACAATCTGTTATATAAAAAACTATACAATGAGTGTAAATCATGCAGAAAACTATTGTACTTTAACTATTGCAAACTTTAAAAATTATACTTAATAAGTAATTACTTCCAATTAAATATTACGTATACGTCTTCATCTCATACAAGTTTTTTTTATATTAATTGCCGATAAGAAAGTAAGCTGTAAATTTCTAGTGAAAAGCCTCACAACAATAAAACGTATGATTGTTATTGGTTTTCAATTAAATATTACGTATACGTCTTTTTCCTAAAAATAATTAAGTCATTACACTTCGTGAGAAGGGTATATGGTTAAATCGACTATACATATATACTTGAACAGCCTTGCATCAATCAAGGCTCTTAATTCCAATATTATTAAGTCGAAATGTCTTCTCAATTGTATTCAATCATTGGCACAACTGACACAACATCATGTTGAATTGATATGGGTTCCAGGACATGAGGGCATCCGGGGAAATGAAATATCTGATGAATGTGCAACCAAAGGGTCGTCCCTATACTTAACCCTTGCGCAAAAGGATATGCACACTGACCTAACGACCCTATCAAAATTGATAGATGAATGGGCTTTGAGTGAGACGGAACTCAGGTGGTCAAATATCACCACTTGTAGAATATCGAGATTGATCTGGCCCATTCTGACAACAGATAGGACTAGGACTCTCTTGTCTCTTAGTAAGAACTCGATTAGGCTTCTAACTGGTATAATTACTGGTCACTGTATGATTAGACATATGTCGGAACGTATGGGCTACCCAAATTATAGTTACTGTAGGAGTTGCTTGGACGAAGAAGAAATGGAATCGGTACAAAACCTTCTATGTGACTGCCCAGCCTTACAAGAGCACAGACTAATTCATCTTGGTACAGCTCTTTTCCATGATCTAGACTGTCTCAGAGATGCGTCACTAATAAACATGATCGGTTTTATTAATAGCACCGACTGGTTTACACGGAGACCAAACGAACCAAGCACTCAACGAAATTAGGGAGGGAATCCATTCTCTCAATATTAGGGAATGGCAATTCTAAGGGTATCACAATGGGCCACTAGGCCTCCGAGTGAACTCGCTTACTAGCGAGCACCCACGTAACCTACCTTCTTAGATGTTTAATTTTAGGGTATGGAAAAAGTGTGAAATTTTGTTGATGGTACATTAATGGTATAGATTTACTCTTAAAAAAGCCTAATCGGTTCGCTTAATTTCCAAAAAAGTTGTGAAAAATCCCAAAAATAGGATTTTTTAGTTTTTTGACTATAATATCTACACCTGGAGCGGTGTTATCGATAACCATCTAAAGTGGTTTAATATAATTTGATATCGATTATACGATTTCAGAATTTTTGCTCTAAAATTGAATTTTCCATAAAAAATAGGTGGTTTTTGCATGCATCTGGTCCCCTTGGTATCAAAAATTTTAAAATTTTTGTTCATTTAAAATATTTGGTGTAATGTTAGCTGAAGGTATAAATTCTTAGAACAAAAGAACTTTAAAAAAATTGCTATACCACTGTGTACCATTGAGTCTCTAGTAAATTATATCAGATTTAAGTTCCCATCATATATCAAATAGTTTCTTTTGAAACGTTTTACCCATTCTTTTTTAGCTTTCATTTGATATCGAAAATTCAGATTTGATATTTCACAAAAAAAAAACAAAATAAATGCTACACCCTTAATATTAACAAACACATAAATTTTTTGTGGTCTCTTGTTATACTCTCATTTAAACAACATGTTTATGCAGTAGTTTTGCTCTTCAACCATGTTGTTTTTTCTTTATTTTTCTTTGTATTTTAAAAATAAAAAATTTATTCATTTTTTTCTTTTCGCTATATTTATAATCAACTTTATTATGTTGTATACATGATGACAAAATAAAAAAAAACAACTACAACTACATATATGAAAACACTTGTTCACTGCAATTTGCCCACAATTGTTGTTGTTGAATGAGTTGGTATCATATACATACGTATAATGCACTGGCACACACACAGAAAAAAAATATACTTCATTTTAAAGTGAAAAATAAAACAACAATAACAAGAAATAATATATTGCTCTAATAATTATGATAAACATATTTGTGTGGAACATATTATGATACCAAGAACCAGTTTTAATCTATTTTCCGATACCTTAATATTATCAAATATATAAATGCCATGGAATTTCTCTGGGTGCATTATCTTTATGTTTGTTAATATGCCATTTATGCACTCTCATAGTGTATATGTATGAGTATTTTTTTGTTTATGTGTAATGTTCAGTCATGTTCATAGTTGTTGTATGACAATCTGTCATTTTTATTTTATATGTCAAGCGTAAGTTTGATTACATATACACACACACAAACATACTTATTCACTTATTTATATTTTAAGTTTTTTTTTTAATTTTTAATAATCATAATTATGATGATGACGATTAAGAGTAGAAGAGTAAAGAGAAAACTCAAATGCTGTAATGTTTTTTGTGGGTAATAGTTTTTCTGCTGATATTTTTTTTATTCTAGAGCTTTGGTGCTTAAATAATATGATTTTTGTTCTATACCTTCCTGTGAATATTATTTTAAATGCATTCTATTGGGAAATATTGAGGTTATGTGGTAAATTGAGTTTTTTTAAGGAAAATT